GCCAGCCTCATGATTTATCCTTCCACCAACAGTTGAAGGCCCATCTCTTCAGATACAGACATTTTTACTGGGAGAAGGGCAGACTATAAATAAGATAAATAAATGAAATAAATAAACTGCGGTCATGTGGTGCGCTGGTCTATGGGGTCACGAAGAGTCGGACACGACTTAACGGCTAAACAACAACAGCATCTTATGCACCGAAAAATACAATATGCAACAGATGGCGAGGGAGGGAGATCAGGGCTGGGGGGGGCTGAGACGGACAGAGGAGAGACCGAGGGTTCACACAAAGTGGGTACTGAGGTCCCCGAGCATTACATAGTTCATCAACACACGGCTATGAAAGCAAAGTGAAATTCACTACATATTGAAGATGCATCACGTACCCATGTACAAGTTGGACAAGCCCTATTCTAACATGTATTCAGGAATGGCACTTTTCCTTTCTCCAAATACACGTTTGAGGAGAGAGGATGTCCGACTCTGCGGCTCACTGGCCTCCCCAGAATGTGCTCCACGGGCCCAAACGGAGGTTCCCCCACTCCGAGCCGGCCCCGAACCGTTTCCTCACCCTAAGGGCCACCTCTGCTTTAGAGCATAATTTTCCCGGTTTCCCGCATAAGAACGAAGCAGAGGTGGCTTATGCCTCCAGAAAGCCAGCCGGAGGATCTGGTCCTCCGCCCGGGGAGGCAAACCAGAACTTGTAGGCACAGGCCTGGAGAAAACATATCCTTGCCATCGTTTTTTTGGTGACACCTTGTGGGTGGCGCATAAAACGAGACACAAACGCACACTTTCCCCTTCCCTCCTGGGAGGAGGAGGATGTGTGAGGGTGACACCTTGTGGGTGGCGCATAAAACGAGACACAAAGGCACACTTTTCCCTTCCCTCCTGGGAGGAGGATGTGTGAGGGCTCGTAAGCATGGCTGGGAGTGGGGAGCCCGGGAGTTATTTGACTCCTCTGGCCTCGCTCTAATTTACTCCTTTCCTCTCCGGTCTAGCAGAGGTTTCTGCTTCATGCAGAGGCTGCTTATTATACAGTGTGGGTGGCGCATAAAACGAGACACAAAGGCACACTTTTCCCTTCCCTCCTGGGAGGAGGATGTGTGAGGGCTCGTAAGCATGGCTGGGAGTGGGGAGCCCGGGAGTTATTTGACTCCTCTGGCCTCGCTCTAATTTACTCCTTTCCTCTCCGGTCTAGCAGAGGTTTCTGCTTCATGCAGAGGCTGCTTATTATACAGCAGCACAGAAGCCAACCCTGCTGTTTACTGACACCATTGGAATCAGGGAATCGGGCTTTATGAGGGAAGGAGGTTGGGATTTGAGGGTCGTCATGGCAATTCTTGAAGGGTAGCAACTTCCACAGTTCTGAGCTAAATCCTTCGGCAGGCACCCACCCGTTTGCCATTCAGATGCATGGCGGCTGCTTTAAAATCAACAAAAGGCCACATCTTTATATTCAGGTATGAACACTACCTATCACTGGAAGGACAGATCCTGAAGCTGAGGCTCCAGTACTTTGGCCATCTCATGAGAAGATTCCCTGGAAAATGTTGGGAAAGAGTGAGGGCAAGAGGAGAAAGGGGACGACAGAGGACGAGACGGCTGGACAGTGTCATCGAAGTGACCGACATGACTTTGACCCAACTCCAGGAGGCAGTGGAAGACAGGAGGGCCTGGCCTGCTCTGGTCCGTGGGGTCACGAAGAGTAGGACATGACTTACTGACTAAACAACAACAACATGAACGCTACACCGGAAAAGCATCAAGCAGCAATTAATGGCTGAAATCAAATAGGAAATCACAACTAGAGTAGGCCCATTGAATCAACTGAACTTTGGGAGAGGTTGATCCATCCGATTCTCACTGATTCAATGGGGCTGTACTCGTTGCAACTTAATCACTGGAATCCAGTTATGTCGCACATAGAAATTCAGAACAATTGCTAATTCAATGGTGTGGCATAATTCAGTCCTATGTCCTCTCAATACTGGAAAACTTACTGAGGCATTCTTTTATTTTCAGCAGGACCAGCTTGCATCTTTTCCCATCAGGTCTTCAGTCATGAGGTCTAGAAACTTGTCATTTCTTCTTAAGGCCGGAATTTTCAGGAAGATGGGATTCTGGGTTCTACATGAACATTGTTCCCCTTCTCTACTGCACCCTTGTTGGCCTTCTAAACCTTAGAATCGTAGACTTGGAAAAATAACGGATTTGGAAGGGCCTATAAGGCCATGGAGTCCATCCAACCCACCTGCTCAGTGCAAGAATCCAGGTCATAATTTTCTCTTGAATGCCTCCAGTGTTGGAGCACTCACCACCTCCCGAGGGCTTGGGTTCCATTGTCGTACTGCTCAAACAGTTAAGACATTTTTCCTGATATTCAGCCTAAATCTGGCTTTTTGTAGCTTGAGCCCATTCTTACATGTCCTGCACTCTGGGGTGATGAATCGTAGACTTGGAAAAATAACGGATTTGGAAGGGGCCTATAAGGCCATGGAGTCCATCCAACCCACCTGCTCAGTGCAAGAATCCAGGTCATAATTTTCTCTTGAATGCCTCCAGTGTTGGAGCACTCACCACCTCCATTGTTGTACTGCTCAAACAATTAAGACATTTTTCCTGATATTCAGTTGAAATCTGGATTCCTGTAGCTTGAGCCCATGGCTACATGTCCTGCACTCTGGGGTGATTGAGAACAGATCCTGCTTCTACTTCTACTTCCTTTCAGGTTTTTGAAAAGTGTTCTCCTGGACACCACATTTCAAGAAGGATGCTAACAAATTGGAACAAGTTCTGAGGAGGGTGACAAGGATGATCAGAGGGCTGGAAACCAAGCCTTAGGAGGAAAGGCTGAAAGAATTGGGCATGTTTAGCCTTGAGAAAAGGAGACGGAGGGCAGAGAGGACTGCCTTTCCCCTCGGTCTTCTTTTCTCAAGGCTAAACAGGTCCAGTTCTTCTAGTCTTTCCTTCTAGGGCTTGGTTTCCAGCACCCCCCGATCCTCCTGGTTCCCCTCTTCTGAAATCGCTCCAGTTTAATGGGAATGGATCTAGAAAAGGGATGTTGGCGACTTAAATTATGCTGAGACCTAACACGGGGCTTCTGTGCTAGATATTTCTACTTGTCTTCAGTCATTACAGCTTGAGGTTTTCTGTACTGGCTTCAGACGGATGGCGGGTACCCTCTAGAGATGGCTGGTCGGGAGGCGTTGGATCCGGAGTTGGAAATGTAACGGGTGATGCACAGAGGAAGCCCACGCCAAGAAGCAAGTTGTAACGTGGCCTGGGATGTAACAGGGTCTCTCTCTTCCTTTCTGCCACAGAAGACAAAACCAGGATCCGCAGAGGGTGATTCAAAAGGGCCCAAGAAGCAAGAGGCATTTGGCAGGAAGAGAAAAGGACACACACCCTTCTGCTGTTCCTGTGAATCCCTTACCTCTGTATTGAAATTATTTTCTTTGTAAATACTCAAATATACGGGGGAGAGACCTTGTTCCCCCCCCCAAAGCAAACCACAAGGCAGGCGGCAGCTATCAATAGAAATGGGAAGATGGGCAGGCAAAGACTCCCTCGGGGGTCCGAAGAGACCCAAGAGGTAAGTCTTTAAGAGACCAAAGCTCGTAAATGGCAGAACCTTGACAACAGTTGCTGAAACTGTGATTTGCCCAACCGGAGAGGATTTGGCTGCTCGGCAAGGCATTTTTCCCAACAGCGAAAGCCAGCTGCGCCCCTCACTTTCCTCACCCATTTTGACCTGAGGTCTGGAGTAAAAGCGACAAGGAATGTTGTTTACCTGCAAAGACTTCTTTTTCTAGAACGAATAAAAGGGCCACAAAAGCTGCGTTTGAAATAATCTAATGGGTGGGCCTGGAATCACTTTATGGGCATCCTAAGGACATGACTTTTAAAAATGAATTATAAAGGGCCCTCCCTTACAAGTCTTCTTGACAGAAAATTTTGGGGAGTGTCTTGTGTTTCCCTTGGCCAAGGTGTCTTTTCTCTTTTTTTGAAGTAACCCAAAGTAATAATGAAAACAAAGACTAATGCAAAAGTGGCACCATCTGTTAGACGGCCCATATCGTGCTGTGGGGAGCAGAGTTCTTGCTTCTTTGTGATCCAGCTGTCTGCAGCTTGTCCGTTGTGTGTTCTGTTCTGCTTTGTACTGTACTATTTCTTAGGTGCTGGTCTTTGACTGTGATCAGCTCAGTTTCAAGTTCTGAAGATTCTGGGATTTGCAGTCCAAACAAGCAAGCAAGCAAACAAACAAAAGTGTTGCACTTCTGGATTTGGGTAACAAGTCACAGGCCAGAACACCGTGCACGTCTGCAACAGTGAAAGAGCAGCGGTGCAAACGCAACTACCAGCACCAACACCGGTTGCTGATTAGAGGCACCACCAGATCATTGTGTAAAGGTCAGCCTGCTGGGGAGGGAAATAAATGCTGTGCAGCTGCCCTTAACTGCATTTTGGCCAATGCGTTTCAAAGTACTTTAATGGAAACAAGCCACTTTTCAAACAGCAGAAAAGCCTTACTTAATCCAGCCTAGACCAGCATCGTTTTAGCAGATGATGCTGGCAAAGACTGAACCTCGTCTTCCTGCATGCAGGCTGGGGCTCTGGCGCTTAAGCCTTAAGTTCCCCCTGGTTTATATTCTTCCAAGCCACTGTAGGCACGGGGCCCATAGAGATGTAAAAGTCTACATTTGTATATAAACCAAGGGTGGGCATCTTATGCCTCGGAGAAAATATCTGCAGGCCATCAAGTACATTCTGGGGGAGTTCCCCCCCCCCACAAATGGCCTATTTAGACTCCTGAGATCTCCCAGAACAGCAGTTTTCATTGGGGGTGGGGGCTCAGATGGTCTAAGATCTCCTATCTGCTAAAAACAGTAAAGGAGGGGCATGAAAAGGGAAGGAGAACAGAGCTAGTAACCATTTCTGATCCCCCAGAATCCCATCTGTCATATAAATGAATGAATGAATGACCAAAACAGGACTTTGGAAATTATGTTTTAATGACATGAGTAGTTTTTACAGGGTTGCTTTGCAGACCAGACACCCATTTGGAAAGGCTGCCCGCGAACCTCTCCTTGGCTGCCCGAGTGCCTGCAAACGGCCGATCAGCCTTTGAACCTCGACCCGGAAATCTTCGGAACATTTTGAGAGGTGAAGGCCGGCGACCTTGGCCAACGCAGAACGGGCTGAGATATATGACCCAGGAGAAATTCCCCCATCTGGATTCAACACTATCCTAAAAAGGAACCAAGTGCACTCTGCAAACAAGGTGAGAAAACCTTTGTTCAAAAAAGCCGAGGCCTCTTTGGATCCAAGCATCTGCAGCCGATGAAGTTCACGTTGGCTGCATCTTTTCCAGCGCTGAGAGCGAAAGAACGAAAACCAAAGGCCCTGAAAGGTGGCTACTGTAAGAATTCAATTGTTGCTTGCCTGTGGCAGGACAAGGGGACTCTTAGCTCTCTGTCCCTCTGGTTCCTTAACATGTCAAAATACAGGAACTAGATCAAAACAATCCTGTTAACAAACAGTCTAAAGTTCAATCAAAGCAAAAGTTCCTACGACAGCAGGATCCCTCCCCAGCTGGGGGTGGGAAAGCCGGACAGTGGAAAGAGTCAGTAAGCCTTCGGGAAGGTGTCTATCTGCTGGATCAGCTCATCCGTCTAGACTCTTCACCATGTACGGTCCTTCCAGCTCGTAGCCGATCTTCCGGTAGTAATCCCTGGTCCCCACACCTGCAATCGACCATACACAAAACGGCAAGTGGATCAGTGCAAGAGGAAACAGATCTGAATGTACTGAAGGACCTACGCTATCCAAGCTACAAAAGCCACCAGGTCTCTAGGGCGACTCCAGAGTGTAATCTGAACCCACTGCCGTCATTATCAGCCCCATTTCACTGTCCTCAGGGCCCCCTGCTCCCCACCCCAACCTCTAAAGGCACTGTATAGACTCCAAAGTACACTTTTTGTGTGTGTATACAAAGAAAAGAAATGTGCAAAATGGCAAAGTTTTACTGAAAGAGGCTCTGTAAAGGGCATTCCACCATCTCAATGACTAGGAGGTTATTTATAGTCAAAGAAGAGGACCACTTGGAATCAACAGGATCATTTGCCCGAAAACCACCTTTCTGCATCTCACAGCACATGATCTGCTTTCCCATACTGCCCGTTGGACTGTTTGTGAACATTCTGTGACCCAATGGCTAGGAGTGGAGTTTTCAATTAAGCCAATGGCCGCAGAGGGATGTTTTGCTTTGTATCGGCCCCATGTTTATGAGTGTTAATCTTTCATGTAACATTTTTCCAGACAGAGAACAAAAACTCAGAGCATGTGGCTAGCTGGAAAGGGCTTTGTGAAGCCACAGATGGGCTGCAGACTCGTGCCAAAATGCAGACTTGTGTATTTGGCATGAGTCTGTCTTGGCTTTCTCACATGAGAAGCCAAGACAGATAATCTTGCTTGGCTTCTCTGTGAGGATTTAGATCGGGTTAATGAAATTCTTGTGCATGCTTTACTCCATCATCCCCACCACCACTTTGCTCTACAATTGTTCCTTGCTCCTGCCAGCCTTGATTAACTAGCGAAAAAGCTTGCCCTACAAAGAACTGTGTCAAATTAAGGGATTGGTAAACAACCTGGGTTAAATAAGAAAGGCGGATGAAGACCTGTACTCATTTCTCCCTGCAGAATGTGCAACCACCCATCCAAACTCTTAGTGGCTTATACATAAAAATACGGGCTGGCACCACATACCAAAATGACCCCCAAAATTCCCTTATTATCGGAACTTTGAGTATGAAATACATTCTAGAGATCAAAATCCTGTGGCGTAGCTAACGCCTGCTGAAAACAAATAACCTACACTGGTTCCCCACTGACAACTAATAGGTCCACACTTGGATTTTTGTGCACCAACCCACTGGCTGGTTTGGCGTGTTGCTCAGAAACCCAAGTGGGAACTCATTTACCGCTAGCAAGAAATTGCTGAAAGGTGTGCTTTTCGCCCTCCACAGGCGAATCTACGCAACAGGATTTTAGCCAGAGATGACTCTCGGGTGTCCTCAAGGGTCTGCAGTGAAACTTGTCCTGTGAAATTTTTGTGCTGTCACCAATCAAGCTGTTGGTCCACGCAGCCTTCTACTGTCCACTCCGCCTGGCAGAGACTCTCCCAAAAAAAACCCCTCTCTAAACTATTATTCTAGATCTTTTAAAGCAGAGGTCCTGGTGATGCAACCATAAACACTCTACACACAAAGCAAAAACACACCAGCCAGTCCTGCCTTTGCTGCCCCAAAGAGCCAGCACATTAAAAACAACCACAACAACCCATAATTACATAGATTCCTCCTGAATCTCAGCTGTGAAGCCATGCAGGCTTTCAATTCACATGGTAGATTTCCAGCGAGGGTAACCAATTAGCAGCTGCTTTTTAAGCTCCAAGTGGACAAGACCGGGCAAAAGTTGTCAATGCAAATCAAGAAATGCAACAACACCCGCCCCAGGGTGAAGATTCTCATAGTTTGCTTCAGCAAAACAAGCCACAAGGAAGTCTTGTGGCATCTTAAAGATGAACAGGTTTATTATGCCATTTGTGGCCTGAAGTCTACTGCATTAGATACACAAATTGTCTATGTTATGTTGCATGTCTATCTATCTGTGGTTTGGGGTGGATGAGGAATTGAAACCCATAGAGTTTGTTGGCCAAAGGATGCCTAATAAAGGCTCCTGAAGGACATCAATGTACCTCTGTTCTGGCATGCATGGAGGAGACCCCTTGAGCAGGTGGTAGAGGCCATGGCTTCAGGCAGTCCTCCATGGGATCTGAGGATCCCATGGATCTGGTAAAACACAGTGCGGTGGAACTGCCTTGGCCTCCTGCTTGTGGCTTAATTTGTTCAGGATGACAACAGCTGGTTCTCCCATGTCAATGATGAGACTGGAAGGCATCAGAGGTCACCCAGCTGGCAGGCTACGTGGTGTCCGGTGCAGCTTGTTGGCATCACCCTCCGCGTAGGGTGGCAGACTCGCTGAAAACTAAATCCAGCCAGGACCCTTCTGGAGGGCTCCGTGCTGAAATCTTGTAGTACGGAAAAGACGTTTGTTGTGTCTCAATGCACTACCTGTTGACTTACGGAGAAGACGGCAGTTGGACCCGAGTGCTTGATCTGTGCCAAAGTACTTCTTGAGGCACAGACAGTGGGAGGAAGGAAACTCTTTCAGTCATGACGGGTCTGAATCGTGCACATGTGTCGGATCAGGCAGAAGCACTCAACGCCATGTGCGGCTGTAAAGATTCCCACTAGAGTGGCCCAAATCCTATTGACAATGGCCCGTAGTTTAACACAACCAGCAGAAATCTCAGTAACGCGCGTTAAGAAGTCGGTGTGAGCTACTCCTGTTTCACCGTGAGGCTCCTGACTCAACACACTGGAGCAAAACGTGTTCACTGACTTCACAGCTTGCGGCAACTCTCCATTCAAATTCACAACAATTACATTATGCCCATGTAAATGTGTAAAAGCAAAATGGAACGTGTGCTCCTTATATACCGCTCCACAAGACTTACAGCAGCAAAATGGAACGTGTGCTCCTTATATACTGCTCCACAAGACTTACAGCACTGGTTGTTGTGGGTTTTTTGGGCCCATTGGCTGTGTTCTGAAGGTTGTTCTTCCTAATGCCAGTCTCTGTGGCCATGGGCATCTTCAGAGGACAGCATTCTGTGCTCTGGTACTGTGTGACAGAGTGCTGTCCTCTGGAGATGCCCATGGCCACAGAGACTGGCGAAACGTTAGGAAGAACAACCTTCAGAACACGGCCAAAGAGCCCGAAAAACCCACAACAACCGTTAGATCCCAGCCGTGAAAGCCTTCGTGAATACTTAGAGCACTCTTGGCAATTTATAGTTTATTTAGACAGACTACACACTGCTCCCCCGCCAGCGAGCCAGGTACTCAATTGACCAACAGCAGAAGTATGGAAGGCTGAGTCGAGCCAGCGACCGGAAGCCTTTAAGATCAAACTCAAGTTGTGAGCAGAGTCTTGACTTCTGTGCTGCAATTTAACCACCGTGCAATGAACTCCAATAATGGGATTCCAGCTATTATGAGGAGAGCTCTGTATGCTCCTGTTGCAGCCAGCAGAGGTAAGCGGGAGGTTCTGCTCCGCTGCGTTTCCTTCCTATTTCTTTAGAGAAGCTAACCAAGACAATCGCTGCTGAGTCCATAAGTTTGCTTTGTTGGCATTCGTGCTAGATTCTGGTTTCCTGGTTTGTTGTGCAGAGATGTCGACTGGGTGATTCAGCTGGTTTTTTGGGGAGACAGATGGAGCGACTCAGCTGTGATCCTCACTGTCAAGAGCTGAAGAGGCCTGGGACCCTCCCAGCCACGTCCAAAACACACTTGACCGATACTTTACCTCCACTTTACAAGGCCAAGTGGGCTCCGCTGCCAGAATGAGGTTTTCACATCAAGAGGGTGGAGGAGTTGGCACACGACGGTTCTTCACAAAGGCTCGCCCTCCCCTCCTACAAGCCCCGCTCCTTAATCAGATCCTGCCGGGCTCAAATCTCAGTTGAACCCAGCTCTGTGGAGAAACAGCCGCGGTTTGTTAGCAACCAACAGAGAGGCAAAGCCATTAGCGGAAAAACAACAACAGCTTGTACACACCCCTGCAAGCTGAGTTCCCTCTTGCACATTGAGGTCTGCACAACGAGGCGGACGCAACATCTGAGGCCTGAAGGGTTCTCGAACAAGCTTACAGGGAAATGAAACGTTGTGCGGCAGGAGGGCTGTGTACACGACAAAAAGATAACCGACAGGGTGGCATCAACATCAACCGATGCACCATCCCAGCCGGCTTATTGGAAACAAGAAACGTTGGACCGAACAGTCAATTCTTCCCGTGAGCGACCTGGAAAATGAAATCTGCAGCCGTTGGAGGAGGCTCTTCCCGTCACCCTTGCACCTGCGTTGCTCCAAAAGGCTGGCTCACTTTCTTCCCTGGGTTGTCCTCCTCATAGGTGGTCTCCCAAAGTACAAAAGGGGAGAGGCAGACATTCAGTTACACCCCGTCGGCTAACAGACTACGTTAACTGGAAGCTCTCACCTAGCCAGAGCTTAGAGAAGTTACTTTTTGGGGAGGCTGGAATCCTTGGAATGTCCCAGTCATGCTGGCAGCCATGTCGACAAAGGGATCCTAGGGTTAATAGTGTGAAAGAGTATTTTTTCCAAGCTCCCATATTAGTTTTGTATCTAGAAGGAGGTGGGAGAAGTGGACTTTGAAGGCTCTCATCATCACTAGGGACATGCCATTCTTCTTCTTTTTTGAGACTTCAAATCCCAGAATTCTCCAGGCAGAACACTGGGAGTTGCAGCCCAAAAAACGCACACTGGCGGATACCTTCATTTCACTCATCCGGAGAACATTTCTAGGCCTTTATTTCCTGCTGTCGCGCTTCCAGGAGGTGGGGGGTGGTTCATCAGGAGGCACTCTCCTTTAGAGCCTAAACTAAAAGGAAACAAAACTACCACTTCCAGGAAGCATTGCAGCAGCTTCCTCCCAAGAAGCACTGCGCTAAGATATAAGGCCTAGAAGAAGCCTTAGCCCTTTCCCAGGTGAGTGAAATGAAGGTATCTACAAGCGTGCGTTCGAGGGCTGGAATTCCCAGAATTCTGCCTGGGGAATTCCTGGACAGTTTTGGGATCCAAAGTCCAAAATCTTCAATGGCACA